GAGCTCAGAAACCTTCTGTTTGTCCCATTGGGGATCATTCATACCCCTGTGACAATGACGTTCATATGAGTTGAACCTACTGATGACAGAAGGCCAGTCTCTGTTCAACAGATGGGGTTGCCATGGGGGAAATTGTAATTCAATGTCCTGCTCTGATTTGGCCACAGCCTGCAATTATTTATCCCCACCGCTGTTTTCTCACTAGGATACAGCACTGAATGAATGTCATATCTAGACATATTCCACTGCTTTGCCCTTTCCATACACTTCAACACATTTCCAAACTCATCTGCACCCAGTGCACCCACCGCACAACTGAGTCTTTGACCAATGCCAAACTCATGTGGAGCCAGATGATTCCTGTAGTACTTTTACCCAAGCTGAGTAAGACCCTGAGATAGGTGTGAGTGAGTCAAGGCTTCGTCAATGAGCTCTTGATTTCCAATTCCACATGATCCAGTTTTGGGAGAAGAACTGGTTTCTGCAGCTGTTTTCCCATTGGTCATTTATAAATGCAAGCGATGCTTATTGTGTAACAGAAATGGAAGTTATAACAAAACATGGAGCTCAACAGCTTTAAAGCACCCACTACCACTTCTTTTTTTCATTATTCCTCCCTCCATAAGACCCAGCACTCTCCCCCAACAGCATCTTGAATGACACGTACCCTGGATGAGCCTCTAACAACCTCAGACAGCTGCTTGATGGCTTTGGTGCTAGTCGTGATGGTTTTATTAGTCTCCTGCTGGGTTGCATGCCTGCAGAAGAGACGATGGGAATTGCAATTGAAATTAATTGCATAATGAGACACAGAAATTTATCAAGCTGCAGAGCAAACGAAACAACACAACACACAGCACATGGAGCCACATTAGGACTACGCGAGGCCAGGGTCTTGACCAGCAACAGCAGCCAGAAGACTGTAGGAAATACTAGCAAGGAGCTGCCCAAAATGTTCTTCCTGTGATCAGCACAAAGTGGCGGTGGACGTGCAAAGTCAATGGGGGAAGATAAGTTGAAAATAGGTGGTGGACAGGTAATAAGGCCATCACTAATGGTTGGTATTGCAACTAAAATTGTCAAAAGAAGGGTTGTAGAGCAAAAAGAGATGGGACTGGGGAGTTACCTGATGGCTTGCCCAGGAAAATTTTGTACTCAGAAGAGAAATTTAAAGCAACAGAAATTGAGCAGGACAAATATACTTACCATGATCATCTACCTGCTAATGACATAGTATCTCGAGGAAAGCACTGTGAACACAAAGGTGCGGTGCTGCTTTACAAGCACTGAAACAGGCAGGCAGGGAGCCAAACCAGTCCCCTCTCCAGTCATGGTTGTCCCTCTCCTTTACATTTCAAATTCCAGTACCATTATTTCTTGTAGGCACTGGTTGCTGGCTTTGCTGTTCGGGACCGCACAAAGTAGAGGGAAGAGACATAAATGCTGCCCAAAGGTATTTATTAGCTCAATCCAGTAGTTCTCAAGCTTTATAAGGTCAACAGGGCATTTTTGGCCTCTAAGCTTCCCCAGGGAGTGCTTCACATATTTTTAGTCCAAAAGGGGTGGTTTTCCATACTGCTTCAATCAAAAACTCTAGAAAGACTCAAGAAAGACCTGGAGAAACTGATCTTTTTTCTCCCTTAGAGGACACATTTGAGCCATGGTTATATTGAAAAGACTAATTTGTCAGTGCTCTTTTTTCAGGGTGGGCAGGATGTGGAGTGAATGGAAGTTCCCTGATTAAAAAATGTTAAGATGACTATTTATGGCCCCTCTGTCCTGAAGGCCCATGGCCCGTCCTGGCTCTTCAGCTCCTTCCTGCTTCTCTGTCAGCACTGATGGAGACCAGCTCTTTCAAGACTTATGTCAACTCTTTCAGCACCTCCTTTGAGGAACAAGGCCAGTCCCCAAACAGTCTTTACCAAACACAACCTTAACTACAAATAAATTGAGACCTCTCAACAAGCACTCCACTGACTGTCATTTCCATCTAGTCAGGGAAGATGGACGTAGGCACCATGAACTGTGATATTCACCCCCCTAGCAAAGTTTGGCATTTTTTTTCCACTTAAGCAAGATCTCTGTGCAGACAGCTCAGGTGGGAAAGCTGTCTAGGATAATAGTATACTTAATTTTATGCATTGTACCTACCAGGTATACAAGTGAAAGCTTAGCGTACCATGAAGAAAACATCTCTTAGCTGCAGAACAGTAATTCAGATGTATGTTAAGGGTTGAACACGCACACAGAAGGCATGGACTCCTTTGGCACCACACAGGAAACAGAAGTAATCTCATATGAAGACAAGACTGGATCCAATAACCAGTTATTCTCAGCTCTCCTTAGTTAAATTAAGATACCATTTCTGTATTCATTCATCAAAATGCATTTCATTTATTTATGATCCCAGGACTCACTGCACCAGCTGACTAATTACATCACTTTTAATTTGAGATGGAAGAGTTCATACCTACCACAGACATGTATTCTACACTGTCATCGCAAGACAGGGAGCTGGGAATTGAATCCTGTCACATCGCCTACCTTGAGGAGTATGCGGTTAGCCTGGTCCCCAATCTTTTAATCAAGTAAATCTTGCCACCAAGTGCATGAATTTCATAAGCAGCAGTTTCAAGACTGAGATTTCCACAACTAATTCCTCTTAATGCAATGCAAGGCACCGGAGTTGACGACCAGTCATTTTGCAGATCTCATTAAATTATCTGCCCACAGAACGACTCAGAGATTTACATACCAGCAATTCCCCATCCCCAAAGTAAAATGGCTTGTTAGGCTCATGCATTTGATCCTTCCCAATCTCTAAAGCTAAATAAAGTCTCCTTCATTTGCATTCTAATGTAAATTTTATGTTAGATATCTTATGTAATAAATCCATGCCGCACACAAACTTTGCACTGAACTGTTGCAAAATAACTGGGAATGGGAGTACAAAAAATAAAAGTTCTGCCTTGCACCTCTTAACTCAAAATGCACTTTAACCAACATGCTGGTGCTTGATTTTGGCACTTCCCACTATGTTGTCAGCACAATTAACTTCTTATTCTTCAGCCTCAGAGATACGCTCAGGAATCAGACCGTGATTATATTTAATTTACATTAAATGCTATTAAGATCTTCATTAAAAGAGAGGTCTTGAAACTCCATTCCCCACAGCATTTTATTTTAATATCTAATGGTAACAAGATAGGTTATTATTATTATTATTATCTTTCTTTATATTCCTCTCCCCATGGAAGTGTGGAAGTTAATTAAAGGGGTGTCTCTGATGAATAAAATTCGCTTCCGAAAAAGTCCTCCACACAATAGTAAGTTAAATACTCAGTCTGTGGAGCTACTAAGTACCTAAAATATAAACGTAAAAGACTTAGCTGTCTACAGTGCTACTCTGAAAATAAGCACTCTAAGAGTAACAACAAAAAGGCATCTCTTAGGAAGAATAACATCTCTTGCTGTGCATTTCTGTATGCACAAAGATTGCAAAGACAGCACACTAAATAATACAAAAGATGCTACACTGCTGCCTAAGAGTTTCCTATGGCTGCTGTTTTCTTTACCAGAGAACTACGGTCCACCGAATCCATAATCCCCAGCGCGCAGCTGCTTACAGTTTGTTCTTTGAATGATCATATCTCTAATTTATTTATCCAGTTTTAAAATGAGCATAGCAAAGAGGCAGATGCGATGATGGCTGCTTCCCTTCTCCGCAGGGACAGAATGAAGGAGCTTAACTACTGTTTGCGCTGTTTCTTAGAGACACTTGATGAATGACCAAGTCAACAAAAAACAATCAGACCCCAAATGCAACAGCAAAGACCGCCAAGGGAAAGAATTCTCTCTGCCTCACCGTGCCTGCTGCCACTCACAACAATCCCAAAGAGCTTTGTTTTCTAGTTCCAGCAGGAGAAAGGCATTTCCAATACAGGATATGGCTTATTTTACTTTAATTTGATCCCTAATACAAAAGCAATAATAAGTTTTTCAGGTACAGATCAAAGATACCTTTACTGTACTGGCTTAAACATCATTAGATGCAGTATGCGCTTTGGCACAGTGCAACTGTGCATAGCAATGGAGTAGTTTTATGTATTTAAGAGCTGGGTGGTCAAGTAGGTTTGGCTACAGTTAAGCCAGGTAGCGCAGCATAACTTAAAACGTATGCTTGTCTTTTGCACAGCAGCTGTAATGCTTACCACTCACTGCAGTTTTCTTGTACAAAAAGAGGTAAAAATTATAGTATGGGGAGCAGAGCACTGAGCTGCATGATCTGTGGCTTAAGGAGAAATAGGTTGACTATATGCATTTACTTATATTCCATTGTTGTTGGAGACATAAATACGTAGAAGTGCATCAAGCGTGCGTAAGGAAATTTTTCACACCATAAGATTTTAGTCAATCTCTTCCCTGTCTTAGAGCTGGATTTTGTGAAGGACTGATGTCTGTGGGAGTTGATGATAGGCCTCAGCAAACTGTAAATACATGTATATAAAACTTTATGCACTGGCCATAGGCACAGCCATGGAGTATCAGGGGGTACTTGGTCCCTGAGGCTCTTATTCCCCTTTCTCCACCTAATCGAGGTGCTTAACTTCAAAGCAAAGCCAGCGGAGGTCCTTCATGGTCTGTGGAGAGTGGCACCTCCAATGGCGTTGCAGAGAAGTCCACCCTTCCGCAGTAACCCACCACTTTTGGATGTCTCCTATGCAGCCAGGATGATCCTATAGCAGAGCTAAGGATATTTCCAGAAGTGGGTGATCCAGGCGGATGTGTTCAACAGTTGTATTAGCAAACACTTATCTATAGGATGGAAACTTGTGCTGCATTAGATTGCTATGACTTACTGCCCATAGACAGCCCCACACCTCGTCTTCCAGGGTTGCTGGCTCTGCCTCCGCATGCAGGGAGGGATCAACGCAGTGGGTATCTCTCATCTATAAGTATTTATTGCAGATGTAAACAAAGCAGAAAGATGAGCTAGGAGGAAAGTTTGTTTCACCAAGCCCTAAAGTATCTTTACTGTATAGTTACAGTCACCAAAGGAAGAAAGGCTAAATCTACTTGTTCTGGCTCCAAACTGACACTCACAACTCTTTTTTTTCCCCTTTCTCCTTTAGGACCTGATTGTGCATGTTGAGAAATCATTTACAACAGAGCAAAATAAAAGCTCTAATTCTGGTCTGTCAGCAAACCCCTTTGCATAGGTGTAAATCATCCAGCAGAGTAAAAGTCAGGAGAAAAATGGACCGCTACTTCCAAGTTTCAAGCCAAGTTTCAAGCCACACAATATTCTATAATAAAAGCATCATAGATTTCCAATTTGCCTGTCACTTGAAAGTATTAGGAGATGTGGCGCTATTTTTCTTTAGGGAGCTTAGGGGATGGTCTGTGGCTGTGTGGGAAGAGAAGGGGAGGTATTTCAAATCCACCTGGAACTGGTGCTGTGTCATGTCTAGAGATGAACATGGCTATAGGCTAGCAGCTCCGTTGTTCAGTGGTTCTGATTAAAACATATGAATTGTAGTCAGATAGTCCTCACAAATTTCACCACAGAAATGCAACCATGGCAACATAAAACAATGCAAACCTTAGCAAAATTTTCCATGGTATTTTTAAAACCTATCAGGCACCTTTTTTTTGCATTGCTTCCTGAAAATAAATAATAAAAAATGATGAAGCATTTATTACTAACGTAAGGAGAATGCTTGCTCCCCTACAGAATTTGACCAGTCTTTGCAAGCAG